ATATATATATATATATATATATATATATATATATATATATATATATATATACATATACATATACATATACATACACACTTCTGTTTGTCTCTTGAGAGAAGTTTTGGAGTTTTTAATAGATTTTAAAAATAGTTCTGACATATAAAATAACCAATATATCATTAAAAACATTTTTTTTAAGTACTAAAAAATAGTAACGTGACGATGATATTATGTATAACGTATTTAAGCCTTTAGTGAAAAGCAAAACCGTCCGCAGCTCTTTTATAGGACGAACACTTTGCATTATGCGATTCTGGTCGAAATTACGTGTGCGTCCACGGCGATAGCGTCGTTGTGTACCGACTATAGGAAAGAAAAGCTGACGTTCAGAGCATGGTTACCATATGACTACTCGTCGACGATGCTTTTTCACATTACGTATTTTCATCAGTTGATAAGCCTAACAGTCGGATCAGTTTTGCATGTTGCCTGCGACGGACTCATATGCGGGCTATTGCTACATATCTGCTGCCAAATAGAAATACTGAATTACCGCTTGAAACAGATCGTACGCGATCCAGAAATGCTTCGCCACTGCGTTATACAACACAATCTTATATTCAAGTTCGTTTTATTATCATTAATATTAATATTGACAAAAATCATGTTTTCTATAGCTGCTGTACTGTATCGAGTTGCAAAAATGACTTCAAATAATACAATGTACTTGTTGCACTCGTATAGCGAGGTGCATTAAAGGAGACTACTAGTCTCCGAATTAAGACTACTAGCTTAAATTCAAATCTCATAATTTTCTGTCACCATATCTATCGGTATTTCTATCAATAAGTCATCACACAAATCACGAGATGTTTGATTTTAGGTTTGCTCATCTGATGAACAAGAAATTTAGATTCACCATTACCTTTCAGTTCATGGTAAGTACGTTGGTGGTGTGCTTCACCTTGTATCAATTAAGCAAGACAAGCGCAAAGTTCGTTGAATTAGGTTTGTACATGTCGTGTATGTTGACGCAAATCTTCCTGTACTGCTGGTACGGGAACGAAGTCAAGTTAAAGGTGCGTATCTTCATTTCTTTGCGCTCCGCTGATTTTGCCAGTTTATATATCAGTCGGCGTCTTTTGTTTTCACGGTCGTAGGGGTTGCAACTGATTAACAATATCTTTGAAATAGAATGGTTCGCACTGAAACAAAGTGTGAAGAGGGACTTGTTAACAATCACGAGACGCAGCACTGTGCCCATCGAGTTCACTAGTGCCTATGTTATTCCTATGAATCTCGAGTCGTTTGTGACTGTTAGTATGCAAAAATTATGAATATTTTATTTCAATACAAAATGTAAATATTGAGTCCAGTCGTACTTTTGAAAATATGACCATAAACGATTTTGCTTTTATTACAGTTACTCAAAACATCATACTCAACTTACAATATACTTCAGCAAGCGCAAGATTCGAGTGTTTGAGGCGAATAATAGAACCGTTGTTGCTGATAACGTTTTCCATATCCATGTTATATAAAGCTTGCTAATCTATTAGAGTTGCAATAAACTACTTCACTTAATATCGCTAGTACGTTTCCGCGTTTCTTTGACTATCACCGTCAAAGTGATATTTTTTATATACAGAACAATAATATTCCGTTCCTGTGAAAGCACAATTCGTCCATCATCAGCTCATAAGTTTGACCAAGACAGTTTTCCTAAACATTGCTTGCGACAATCTTATTTGCGGGTTTTTGGTCCATATATTGGTAATATTTTATAATAGATCGTGGTCGACTGTATTCAATATTCAACGAGTTCATCCTGTGTTTCCCGTACCGTCTTCCTACTGAAAACATTATTGCATTTGAAAACGTTATTTTTTCGCGTAGTTGTACGAACTCTTTTTGCTACTATGTTGCATATATGATTCATGAAAAAATGATTTTTGTGAAATGAATAATATAATTATCGACTACGCGAAATATATCCGCATCCACTGAATTCCATTCGCAACGTTATACGATCCGTCAACGCTTGTATCAGTCAATATCTCTGTCTCTTTAGAAGTTATTATCTTTCTTATTATGTACTTATCAGTTATTATCATCTAAAGTGCATAATATGACTTAACGTGTCGCTAATACAAATAATGTACAGGATATTCATCTGGCTGTATTATGGTCATAGAAATATCTATAGCTATATCTATAGTATAATAAAAAAGAATATTAGAATAGAGCAATTGACAATTAATGTAAGAACTGATTATTCAAAATATGTAAGTGCTGCCGTCTGTTTTACGTGACGTTACTGAAAACCGCGATCTTCAGATGCGCGTTCTTAAACTTACCTTCAAGCTTCTGACGATATTCGGTTGCTGGCGGCCAGATTCCTGCAGCTCTTTGTATAAACGCGTGGCGTACAATGTACATTCGATCGTGATGGTCGTCGTATTGAACAGCTTTATGTTGTCGCAATTCATAGATATAGTTCTGACAGCGGACAATAGAGGATTTTTCTGATAATTTCTTTGTACTGCTCGCCATGTTCATCTCTTGCTGTAAATTGTTCAGCATGCTGATAAATCGCAAAAACATCATCACACTACTCGATATACTGGCGAAAAAGCTGTATAGACCATTGAGATCAAACGAAATGAAGATTCAGTATAAATTTGACAAAGACATAGAGTAAGTATCGGTAAACAATAATTATCAAAGAAGAAAAGTATTCATATTGTTAAAATTATCATAATATTCATCTTGTTAATTATCATAACATAGAAATCTTTGAATTTATGCGAGATAAAATTTTTCTTACATTTTTCTACACTGAGAAAAAATATCTGAACATTTATAAATATCTGAAGCTAAAGGTACGAATATCATTCCTTCCATTTTTATAGAATACAATAGATTTTTATGCCAATACATATCTTTCAAGTATGTCAAGTAGAACTATGAGCTAATCGACAATATTTTTGAGATGGAATGGATGGCACTGGATGAAAACAGGAAGAACTCTCTAATTATAATAATGAAGCGCACGGTAGTGCCTATTCAAATTACTAGCGCTTATGTCATTCCCATGAACCTCGAGTCTTTCATGGGTATTAATATGAAGAGAGTGCAATATGCAATCACGCTCGACTTCGCTGATAGATTTTACTTTGAGTTTAATGTAACGATCGGACTATTGATTAATGTATTATTCGAAAATATTTGGACAAATTGTTATGCAATATCAAATTTAAATTACACACTATATGTCCGGCCAAATATCGTTATCGACGAAGTCGAGCGTGGAAATATCAGTGATCGTAACTAAAGCGACATTACAAATGCGCATATTAATTGCAGATGCTCAGGACATGTATTCGATTTAAAACTTGCTTCAGCACATGTAAAAGACTGATAAAATTAACGTGCCATCCAGACTGCAAAATCAAAAGTCTAGAGAGATAAAAGAGGAGAAGACACGAAATATTGAATTTTTGCAATTATATAGTACCGACAAGTGACATTTATGTTACATACCGTTATTAGGAAAATAAAGGAAAACTGTTCGAACGACGTTACTACGTTACGTTTATTAATGTCTGTGTTAATTGCATTTTTCCTCGGCGGGCGTATTTTTTCTAACTAAATACTGTAGGCTGAAAAAAAACAGCATCTTAAAACGATAAGGAGAAAGAAGAACACGCGGCAACTGCTCGATAACGTGGAAAGTGTATCAATGAAAAGCGAAATACTTTTAACTTTTTACGATCGTAGGCCGAGCTATAGTCGAGATGTAGAGAACGACTTGAATTACGATGGTAAAGTGGGGGGAATGAAATAAATAAGGCGTATTAAGATTTCACGATGGTGAAGTACAGTCTTTCTCGTCCAGCAAGTAGAAGTTCTTCAACTTCTGTCTCGCATCTGTGGAAAGAAATTGATATTATTTCCGAATGTCAGCATATGAAAGTTGAATTTCTAAAGAGACTAGCCATATTAAACTGAATAAAAGAATATTCCTACAATAGGAATGATGCAAGTCTGATATTACGATAATAATACTGATATTATAATAATAATACTGGCATTACGATAATAATACTGACATTACGATAATAATACAAACGAAGGAATATAGAGGAAATTCACGACGAACATTTCACGATCGTCAATTGTTTGTAAATTGTCTCATCCGACGTTTCTTGATTATTTTATCTCATAATGAAAAGACACTGTGAAATTTCCAGAAATATTGCGTAAAGTAAAAGTTCCTGAAACACTTTGCGTGTTGTCACATGAGTCTTTCGCATGAACGATCGCAAACGTAACGTGAGGAACTTCGGTGAAACGAATTACACGTATGTAGAAATATAAAAATAGAAGTTCATTCATTCGTAACGTAATTACAATTTTTCGTTTCTTTCCTAATTTTTTTTCCATAACTGACGTATAAATGAATTCAGGGAATACTCGAAAATGCGCGTTCTGCAGTTCACTTTTAAACTTCTCACAATTGTCGGATGCTGGCGACCGAAGTCATGGTCCTCGAGATACATGCGAATAACCTACGACGCATACACGATCTCCATGGTCGTGTTATTGTATACTTTTCTAGTGTCGCAATTTTTGGACATTATTTGGAACGTCAACAGTCCCGACGATTTCACTGAGAATTTCTACGCCACGCTGGCATCAGTAGTGTCGTGCTCCAAAATGCTCAGTCTTCTGGTGAATCGCAGTAACATCGATACGTTAACCAATGTGCTTGTCCAGAGACCATACAGACCGTCGAAGACCGAAGAAATAAAGATCCGATACAAATTTGACAAACTTATACAGTGAGTATCCCAGGACGCCAGAATGAGAAGTATTACTCGAAGTGAAACTCGATAACAAGCACAATGATTTTGTTATTATCGCGATGTTATTGCATCGACATTTTACACGGGAAAAAACGTTTAATTGAAAATATAAGCAAACCAGAAAATTGCGAGTGGAGTTATTAGAATTCTGTTAAACGTTAATCAGAAACCTTGTTAACTCGAACTGAATTCTAGTAGCGTTAACCGGAATTCTGCATTGAGGAAAAAATACTTGAAAATTTGTTTACGCAATACAAAGATAACTTCTGTGAAATAAAGTTTATTTCTGTAAACAAGTTTTATATGCCACAAACAAATTTCCAAGTATCTTTTTTCCAATGTGTTCATATTTCACCGAATTTTAGAAGTTCGGTTAATCCTCTCAAACTATTTTTTTTGTGTACTAATTTTTCTTTTAAATTAAAATACCCCATTAATGTTGCGTCACCTTGCATTTCTATTCAAATTCAATTGCTCCAGCGAACGTAACAGTTTTCATAGCCGCTTTACAGAAACAAAACTCTCTTCTATACGATTCTGGTGGAAACTACATGCGCGTGCATTACCCTGTCGTCCTTATTCACCGAGTTCAGAAAAGGAAAACTGACGTACAGGGCATGGTTACCGTACGATTATTACTCGTCCACAGTTGTATTTTGCCTCACGTACGCGCATCAACTCATCAGCCTGACAGCGGGGTCTCTTGTCAATGTGGCGTGTGACAGTCTCATTTGCGGACTATTGCTGCATATTTGCTGCCAAATGGAGATCTTGGAGTGTCGGCTGAGCGAAGTGTCGGGTGATCATAACACTCTCCGCGACTGTGTACGTCATCACGACAATATATTTAAGTTAGTTGTTTCATTGTATGAAATTCATTGTATATGGGCATCATGAAAAGTCTCTTATTTCTATTCAAGAAAACTTAATTAACTCACGTGTCGGCTATTTGTGTTGGACCTAAACTTTTTAGATTGCTCGGTGAAGGTGCATTATCTTTGCGATTCGAACTTCTATTTATTTCTCCGATTGATATAGCCAGAACAGCGACTACAAAACACGCTATCATCGTCTCACGTTTGTTGTGTTTTCTTACAGGTATGCTATGAGATTGAACAGCGAATTCAGGATGACTATTGCTATGCAATTCGCAGTGAGTACGATGGTGGTGTGCTCCAATTTATATCAGATGACTAAGATAACGTCGTTCAGCGAGATTCTCCCGTTATTGTTGTATATGTCCTGCATGTTAACACAGATTTTTATCTATTGTTGGTATGGGAATGAAGTGAAGCTAAAGGTGAGCGCGTGTTGAACATGTCTATTTCCTCTACAACCAAGTCGTGCGATCAAGCAAAGAAGGCTGAACGATTAACGAGACTTCTTACGATTTTTTAATACAGAGTACTCAACTACTCCACAGCATTTTCGCAATAGATTGGCTAACATTCGACGGAAGTCTTAAGAAAAATCTATTAATAATTATGAATCGCACGTTAATACCCATCGAATTCACTAGTGCTTACGTTCTTTCTATGAATATCGATTCGTTCGTCGGGGTTAGTAGAAAAATCAAGTCACTATTTGTTTACACTAATTTCTTAGCTTACACTGAAAAAAATATTTAAAAATATATTTGTAAAATATAAAGTTTATTTCTTTGAAATAAACTTTATATTTGTGAATGAACCACTTCATTTATGAAATATAAAGTTTATTCACAAAAATAAATTTTATACCTTACAAATATATTTTCAAGTATTCTTTTCTCTGTAGTTTTGATATTTCGATCATCATAAGTTTTTACAGGAACTGTACATATATGTGTGCGCGTGTTTATGTATGTGTTGCAGATACTCAAGACATCGTACTCGGCTTATAATTTACTGAAACAGGTGCAGACGACGTAAATAAAAAGTAATTAGGAAAATAATGAAAAATTAGAGATAAATTGCTGCGATGTTTTCCAATATAGTTGATAGTTACGAAACATCACAATCAGTGTGAATGTCCAATGTATGTTCGAATGAATAAATAGCAATTATTTAGAAAGACTTGACCAATTAATTTGACTGAAAAGTCGATTGATCAGGATGATGCACGTGTGTAGCGGATTCAAGGACTCTTCGTTTACACGCTGTCCATTCCTTTTCAAATATTACAACTGTTAGAATTGATGCCGGAAATAAAATTAACTGAGTCGGAATTCAAAGTGAACGATAGCGAAGCCATGCAGCTGCTGACAGTGAAAAATTAAATATTTATCAAGTGAGCGAATCGGCTCACATCAAGATTTCATGCATGTAAAACGTAATTCGCCGTCTATGATATATTCGATTTTAGTTCTTTACGTTTATTTCATTTTGTTCTACTATACTGTCGCATAAAGTTTGCATTTGGAGATGTTGCATATGCCGCGGCATAAAAGAATTATTACGTGAGGGACACAACATCGCGAGTTCACGATAATAACTGTTAGCTCGTTGCTCGAGGGGGAAGCTAGACCAACAATATTGCCGTCAGAAAACCGCGCCATATGGCTATAGACATTACGAGGTTTATTAGAGCTTTGCGAAATCGTGTTTTAGAATGTTGTTGACGGGGAAACTACTATGGACAGAGCGTATCTTACATATGAACTCGATACTATTTCTTAATTTGATATACTGTACATTTTTTCACTACAAATTTTGGCTATAATATTATGCGCATATTCTCTTCGTATTTCACATTACATATATAAATTGAACTTGAAATGAACAAACATGACTGAGAGGCACCGTGATAATCGCAACAATTCACATTTTTCAGTGTTTGCACATATATTTTGTGAGGAGAATCTATATATATAAATTTTCGAATATCATCAATAAAAAGAGGGAACGCGCATTATACTGAGAGAAAGAAAACTTAAGAAATAAGAAATATTTATATTCGGTAACGGCATATTTACTCTTTTAAACTAATATACATATTCCTACACTGAAAAAACATTTTTCTCGAGCGAGAAGATATATATCTTCTTAAAACCGTAGCTTTTCCCAAGAAATTATTTTTTTTATTTAAACAAAAGAATTTAGATTTAAGTAAATATGTTATATTAGCACTCACCGAATAAATATTTCTTATTTCTTAGATATTTTTTTTCTCAGTGTAGATGCTAACGTAATTACACAAATTGCGTGAGGCAAGAAAACGTCGGGAAATGGAATCGAAAATTCAAGAGACGCGAGTGCTGCAACTCACGTTAAAAATTCTCATGATTGTTGGCTGTTGGCCACCAGATTCCTGGACATCGTTCCGAAAACGCACGATGTATAACGCATATACGGTTTTCGTGATTCTACTGTTATTTACATTTATGTTGGCTCAACTGATGGACATCATTTTCAACGTTGACAATTCTGACGAATTCGCGGATACCTTCTACATTATGCTCGCCATGGTGATTTCCTGCTGTAAGATGACCGGTCTCTTAGTCAATCGCAAGAACATAGGAACGTTCACCGATATCCTCACTGAGAAACCGTTCATCCCGCTGGAAACTGACGAGGTGCAAATACGACGCAAATTCGACCGAACGATATAGTAAGCACTTGTCATTATCAAGTCAAACTCATTCTCAAGTTTGTTGAAGTGAAATCTCACTCGAGACATATATTTACTTTTCAAGTTAGTTTTCACTCGAAGAAATCTAGAGAGTATTCTAAAGTAGTTCAAAATGATGTATTGAAGCTAATATAATAAAAAAATAGGATAAAAGAGTTTAAAAGTAGAATTAGATATAAAATATAGAATGTTCAAAAATTTCTTCGAGAATAACGAAGATCGATTCTTTTTAAAACAATAAGAATACGGTTGTAACAAATCGTACAATTATTTTACAGTAACAATACTCTCTATTACACGATATTAGTCGAGATGACGTGCGCATGTATCGCGGTAATATCGTTGTTCACGGATTTCCGCAAAGGTAATTTAACGTACAGGGAATGGACACCATATAACTACTCGTGCAGGATCGTGTTCTATGTGATATACACTCGTCAGCTAATAAGCTCGACGTTCGGTTCTATGGTAAACGTGGCTTGCGACAGTCTGATCTGCGGTCTGTTGCTACACATTTGCTGCCAGCTCGAGATACTGGAGTGTCGGCTGAGAAAAATCTCACTCGGCCGTAGCAATCTACGTGAATGTGTACGTCAGCACGAGCGTATATTTAAGTTAGTTCCTTCAAGCAATCACACACACGCGAATCGAGAGAGAGAGAGAGAAACAAACTGTAAAAAATGAAATCTCTCCGCGATAATTTCACGCGTACAAAACTTGATTCGGCATTACCGTATCAATCTCAGAACGCTTCTCCTACGTAGGTTTGCGCTTTTGGTGAACGAGAAATTCAAAGTGATCATCGCCATACAATTCATTGTGAGCACGTTGGTGGTGTGCTCCAATTTATATCAACTGGCAAAGGTCACGTTGGACGCGCAATCTTTTCCACTCGTATTGTACACGTGCTCCATGCTGACGCAAATTCTCATTTACTGCTGGTACGGGAATGAAGTTAAACTAAAGGTGCGAATCATCGCATTTCTCAAGTACCACAAATATATCGATGCAAAATTGATTGAGTCCTCTTCAAGTACAAAACGTCAAATTTCGAGTACATTTTACCTCAGGACGGCATTTGTATCAATGATTATTAATTAATTCTATCATAATTAAATCGGTAGAACACTTTGCTTGTTTTGTCGGATTTAGGCCGTCTTCCTTGTGTTGGTTGTCTCATGAACATTTCAGTTCACTTTTTCAGGCAGCGACTTAAAACGCACGATCTAAACCTGCTCCCTGAAGAAGTAAACTGAAATGTTCACGAAATTCACATCGGAACCAAACACAATGAAGACACGGTCCAAACCCAGAAAACAAGCAGAGTATTGGACAACACCACGAAAACTTAAAGAGACTAATAGGACACTTTGTTTGAGATATCTCAATTCACGAATCTCTTAATTTAGAGTGTTCAACTGGCCCCCCACATCTTCGGAGTAGAATGGTTGTCATTGGACAAAAGTATAAAAGAGGGCATGATATTAATAATGAAACGTGCGTTAGTGCCGATCGAATTTTCCAGCGCGTACATCCTCACGATGAATCTCGAGTCGTTCGTAAGCGTTAGTATGACATGTTCGTTACTTTCAATATAATGCGTGTGAAGCTGACACTTCATTTTTTAGCATCGCAAGTTAGTTCTACTTGTACCCACAATAGTTCTATAGTTCTTGATAGGTTATAGCAATAGTTTCATTGAATTAATAAAAAAAATTGTGCAACAGTTGCAGGCTTCCGCCTGTCAGCGCTAGTTCGTGCCGCCGCGACGCGCACTGAGAGAAAAAAATAGTTGGAACAACTATAATCTCACTATATTTTATAGTTCTTTTTGGCCTCAAACATATATTTATAGTTCATCTAAACATGAAGATATAGTAGAATGAACACAGATTTATAGTCACCATCTTATTACTCTATATATATGGTAAAGCACCTTTTGGGAATATAGTTACATGTACCTATATTTGCCAAATTGTATTGACTATATAAAATAGTTAATTTCTCTTACCATTCAATATTTGCCACCTTATCATATTTTTTATTTCAAATAATTATAATTCTTGGTAAAAATTTTACACGGGTCAGTTATACTATACTTATATTGTAAATATTACAAATATTATGGTAACATTTACTATAAAAATTATATTCCTAACTATAATATTTTTACTATGCCATTATAGTTCCAAATATCATACATTTTTCTCTCAGTGCGGTGATGGCTTTGGCATGTCGTCACTCGCAGCAAATCTTAGCTAGACGGCAAATTTTAGCTAGGCGGCTATATAAGCCGGCGCGAGTGACGATTCGAGGCCTTTTGAGTGCGCATTGCACGTTGGATCACTCTTCATACGGACGCTTGTCTGGCGAGATATTTTTGGAAACTCTACAAGTCTCCACCTCCTTGACATTGATGCTCGGCTGAGAGGAAAGCTCGCGAGATTGTTTCCACTTACCCTGCACCCTCCATCACTGCATGGACATTCTCTTTCGCGATATTTCGAGCACTGCGGATATCGTTTACGGTGACACGGAGCTTAGTCTCCGTTGCGCTTGCGACACTAATCACATAATTTTGTGTAAACTCTGGAGTTTACTCTTGTGTGCCAGCAGTGAAATTAAAAAATTATTTAAAAATAGTTGAAGGCTGTAACTCTCGCTAAAATCTGCTTTGGAACTATTGCAGTATTACCAGAAAACGCCAAAAAGTCGGCCAGAGTTGCCAGCATCTCAGAGTTTACTCTTGCGGTGCGGTGCTGGCACTCAAGTTTAAAAACAGTTAGAGGTACCGAAACTCTCGCTAAAACGTAAAAAATTAGGTGCCAGCTTTACCCATATCAGTGTGATAGTTACAGTGGCGATTTATTTTTTATGATAGATAGTTACCGTTCTAATTTGCGTGCGAAAACATCGGTAGCGAATACCCACGCAGCATTAGAATTATCTGCTGCCTTGTGTCTTACGAGAAAGCGACGATCTTAAAATGCATGTAATAATGTTTACATTTTTGTTGCAGTTGCTCAAGACATCATACTCAGCTTACAATATACTGCAACAAAAGCAAGAAACGTAATTTAAGTGTAACATAACACTAGGTAGTCACTACGTTTTCCAGGTCATTATGGTCGCCGATAACTATTGACGTTGTAAGTTGTGCCTGTTACCACATTATGTTAACCAGTGAATAAATAATGATTGATTGATTGACTTTCCCTTTTTGTTTATCTTTTTTATTCCCTCTGCAATTATAATATATCGTAAATTTTTCGATTTTTAGACTCGCATCAAGATTTTATGACGATATACCGTAATTTGCGGTCTATCGATAGTTGGACTACGTCGTCCAGATATCTCTACCGAATTATTGTTGTCGAAGTTTGTCGAAACATAAAGTCATATTTGTTGTGTAATATCCAGTTTGCATTTTAAGAATGCAGCTGTGTAAGATGTCGTTTTATACAATATACCGTATTATAACAGTACTATCGGGAACAGTGTTACCATCCATCGGGAACATAATCGGTAGTATATAAAACACAGTCTTTCTGTTAGTCGTTCTAATAGTCTTTTCCTTGTATGTATTTTTGTCTTCCGTACTTTGTTCTTCTCTACGAGAATTCTCTACGAGAATTATTCGGTATTAAGTAATTTTATCTTATACATTCCCGGAAAATATAGATACAGATTCATAAAATTGTTATTTTGCGACAAGAGACACTGTACTGCGAGTTTTGTATTATAATAGTAATAAAGTAATGCTATATACGAAGAAAAAGTTCTCTTAGGGACGAAGAATCGTCGTAAGAAACCTATCGACATAATCCAAGTTTTCTGTTTTCTCATGAAGTATTCTGACTTTTTTCCCTTAATACGAAAACGTTAATGTTTGAAATTTCGCGTATAGCGGCTTCCCATCATCATTTATTATTAATAACAATGTTTGTTCGATATTATCGCGGAGTACTGAAGTGAATATTTCAAAAAGAAGTCATTCGCCTCCGGTCTGAATCCAGATAAAGAAATATTTAAATTATTAGTAAGTGCTCTTCTGTTCTTAAATTTCTACTTTGTCCTAATTACCCGAGAACTCTTTTCTTTCTGATTTATTTCGTGCACGCGACAAAGATTTTATCATACTTTGGGATCAAATTACTCAAATAAGTCGATGAAGAAAATTGTGCAAATTAACTTAATTTGATCACATGAATGTAAGCAACCAATTTTTTTTTGTAATTTCGCATTGTTAAAACGTTTCGTACAATTGATGAATTTAGCATAATTAGAGGAATATTAATAACTTATTTAAAGAAGAAATTAGCAATCGTCTCGAGATGCACGTATAAGAATTTACACTGTTAGTTCTCACAGTCGCTGAAGATGGGCGATCATCGTCGTGGACCTCGTTGATGAAACAAATTATATACAATGTCTACATAGTTTTACTGAATGTCGCGGTATTCATATTCACCACGATCTAATTCATGCATCTTGTGTTTAACGCCATCAATGCGGACCAGAGTTTACTTTTGCGGTGCCAGCGATGAAATTTAAAAATTATTTAAAAATAGTGAGAAGTTCCGGAAGTCTCGTTAAAACGTATCAGAAAGTATAGAGCACTTCGTATAAGATAAAATTATTAAAAAAATTTTTTTTAATGTTGCGATGCTACTGGAAGTTGGCACCTCATATTTTAGAAATTTTATTTTTTTTTTTTTAATTAATTCGACGGAACTATTGTTATAACTTATCAGAAACTACAGAACTATTATGGGTGTAAATAAAACTAACGTCAAAACATGTGCTGCTATAAAATGAGGTGTCAACTTCACACACACCAGTGTGATTGTTACAGTGGCGATTTTTTTATCGTGGATAGTTACCATTTTATTTTGCGTATGGAAACATCGGTAGCAAACATGCACGCTAGAATTATCCGCTGTTATGTCTTACGAGAGAGTGACGATCTTAAAATGCAGGTAACAATGTCAATGTCATATTTTTATTGCAATTGCTCAATAGATCATACTCAGCTTACAATATACTGCAGCAAATGCAAGAAAATATTCAAGTGTAACGTAACACAGAAACTAGGTTGTCGCTACGTTTTCCAGGTAGTGGTCGCTGATAATTATTGACGTTGTAAATTGTGCCTGTTATGTTAGTCAGTAAATAAATAATGATTGATCGATTGAGTTCTCCTTTCTATTTTTCTTTTTTATTCCCATTGCAACTTCAATATGTCATAAATTTTTCGATAGACTCGCATCAAAATTTTATGACAATACACTGTAATTTGCGGTCTATCGATAGTTGGGTTACGTTGTTGATATATCTCTACTGAATTATTGCTGAATTATTACTGAATTATTGCAATTTGTCGGAACATAAAGTCATATTTATTGTATAATATACAATTTGCATTCTAAAAATGTAGCTGGGTAAGATATCATTTCATGCATTACATCGTATCACAACAGTATTATCATCCATCGGGGACAATATTGATTATTCGATGTTACTATAATTATATGTCTACCGAACATGAAGAAAGAAATTGAACGAGTGGTGCTGTGAACAGAAAGACGCGTAAAGTAGCTATAGACGTTCTTTGATGTGGCTGCTGGAATTGTTTTCGATTATTGGTGTTCGAAATTGACGACAGATCGCTTGATACTTTTTTTTCAACATGAGTAAGTTAATTCACACTGTATCCAATTTTGATCGCGTCAGAAAATCAGTAAATTACTTTTAAAAAATGATTTATTAATGTTATCGTTATTCAAGAAGTAAAAAGTAATTAAAATGTTCATAAAAAGTAATTAAAACTTTCTTTTCTCCCTATAATGTTCTAAATATAAAAAAATTAGGTCTATCGTGCCTGGATATAATATGATATGACATAACATTTCATTATATATATTAAACTGTCAAAATGATAAATTAACCGAATAATCAACAACTATAACAACTATATCATAGTTACAATTTGTACGTACATCCAAAAACAATAGGAATAATTAGAAATACTAATGAGTTTTGGCTTAATGAACGATAAGGCTTCATTGAAGCTTAGCGTGCACAAATAAAAATACGTCATATAAATTTTGTCACGCGCATGAGTAGGAAAAAAAACGTGTGTGTGATACTACAAGCATTTTGTTTGACGTTAGAACAGGAAGGCGAAAAAATGCGAATCATGCAATTTCCGCTGGTAACCCTTACGATCGCCGGGTGCTGGCCACCGAGTTCCTGGTCTACGTTTTGCAAACGAACAGTGTACAATGTGTATACGATTATTGTGACCTTGCTACTATTCACTTTCATGGTGCCGCAATTCATGGACATTGTCCTGAATGTCGACAATGCTGACGATTTCACGGATACTTTCTACGTTATGTTAGCTATGGTTATCGCTGTCTGTAAGATGCTCGGCTTGTTGCTAAATCGTAAGAATATCGAGATGTTAACACACACGTTGGTCGAGAAGCCATTTAAGCCGCTGGGACCGGACGAAATCGAAATTCGACAAAAATTCAATAACTTGATACAGTAAGTATCGCAAGACATAGCAAATATTTGCCATGGGTTCATAAAAGATGACCCAAATGGAAACTAATATTCTCAACAATATTCTATGTACTGATTTTAATTGAAAAACCAAAAAATAAATATAACAACTATGAAAGCAAAGTATGTGATATTTAAATTGATCGATCTTTAGTTTCATCTAAGGGCAATATAGTTAATCCAAAGAAAATTCAAATAAAATAAAAAAATTACGATATACAAACTGAATTTTTTCTTTTATTTATATTAATTTTCTAGCATTCTCATTTCTCCTCTTTTCTTCGTTTAATTTTAAGAAAGAAAAGTATATTAACTTTATTAGTCTTAATAGCCGTCGTAGACGTTTTGCAGAAACAAAGCTATGGTGTATACGTTTATGATCGAGACAACGTGCGCGAGTATGGGTCTGACGTCCTTGCTGACGGAATTTCGAAATGGAAATTTGGCCTATAGAGAGTGGATACCGTATGACTATTATTCTTCCGACATATTATTTTACATCACGTATTTTCATCAAATGATAAGTTTGACGGCTGCGTCCATCGTAAATGTCGCCTGCGACAACGTGATCTGTGGATTGTTGTTACATATCTGTTGCCAGATCGAGATCTTGGAATGTCGGCTGAAAAAATCTTTGCGCAACCAAAGTGACTTCGGCGAATGCGTATATCTACACAATCGCATCTACAAGTCAGTTCTCGCGTGAGAAGTTTTGTGCATTTCAATTCAACAACGTTCCCACATTCCATATCTTTTTCTCGTAGGTTTTCATACGCAATGAACAAAAATTTCAAGTTCATCATTGCCGGTCAATTTATAGTGAGTACACTCGTGGTGTGCTCCAGTTTATATCGACTGGCAAAAACAGAATTAAGTGCAAAATATATTCCGTTGGCGTTGTACACAATCTGTATGCTGATACAAATTCTTATCTACTGTTGGTATGGAAACGAAGTGAGACTAAAGGTATCCATTAATATATTGAATATCGTGACGATCATTAGTGATTATGACATTATCATATTTTATTTAGTTATGTATAAAATACAACTAATTGGTTTTGTAAAAAATTGAGTATGCGGCCAGTGGAACAAAGTAAAAAATACGTGCGTAAATTACGTTGCATTTATTTACCGTACCTTTGTTATTCAAATATCAATTAAGCCTGTATATAATTAATGAAAATCAACGTGACAGTTTAACTGCTGTTGCCCAAGTTTTGTTAAATGCACGATAACGTGATGTATCGTACATTACGATAAAATTCTAATAAAACAGAATAAAATAAAAAGCGAAATGCCGTAAAATGATGTGATAGAATTCGTCTTTCTCTGCCCATGACGAAATAATTTTTTATTACATTTTTTAATGTAATATTTCAATTATACAATATTTGTTTATAACAATTTCTGGCTATAAATAAGAAAGTAATTTATTATATAAATTATGATTTAACAACAACTAATGTTTGTTTCGTATCTTCTATTGCAGAGCATTCAATTTGCCGATCAAATCTTTGACATGGACTGGCTGGCATTAGACAAGAAAACGAAAGAAAATCTTATAATGATCATGAACCGTTCTTTGATACCTATCGAGTTTTCCAGTGCTCATATTCTTATGAACCTCGAGTCTTTTGGGAAGGTAAGACATAAATTTAATTTTACAGCAGTAATAAACTTTGTCGATAGATTTTTATACGAGGCACACTTCCAATTTCCATATGATTTTATTTTTATCGGCAAAGTCGATTGTTTCTTGTTTTGTCAATTCAGCTAAGAAAGATTTAAAGATACTGACATGTTTTACAGCTTCTTAAGGTATCATATTCAATATATAATGTACTTCAAATTATGTAAAGGAAAACTGCATATATGCAAAACACGTTCTTACAAATGAGATTCAACGTGTAAAGATAATTATCCAATTCAAACAATGTACCTGTAGAAAATAGTCCATTACGATAGCGACCCATTACAAGCCAATTGCAGACAATGCAAATCTAATGCACATGTGTTGCCAACTCGAGATCTTCACAAGCTGCATGTGTACGTAATCAACAAAACAGGACTGACGTAACGTAACTGCAATAGAGATTCTTATTTGATAGTTATTGTTCCATTTTATGAAAAACTGTTAGGAAAACGCGCATGAAGCGCTAAAAATACCTACCGCTATATGAGGGAGCGATGATTTTAAAATATACGTAAGGACGTTCATGTTGCAGTTGCTCAAGACATCATACTCGGCTTACAATACAGAAAATGCAAAAAACATAATCCAAGCGAAATGTAACACATAAAAGCAGTAGTTTCTACGTTTTCCAGACTGTGATCATCGATGAAAAATTGACTGTTGTAAGTTGTGCCTGTTATCACACATCGTGTTAGCTAGTAAATAAATAAAATATGATTGATTGATTAATTTTCCCCTACTATCTCTCTTTCTTTCTTTCACTGCAATTACAATATGCTATAAATTTTTTTATATACATGCATCAAGATTTCATGGCGATACACCGTAATTTACCGTCTATCGACGGTCGGAGACAGTCGTGCATGTCTTTACGTCTTTTGTGCACAGATCTTTACTATTCTATTGCTGTTTAATTCATCGGAACATAAAGCCATATTCCTTGTATAGTATGAAATTTGCATTTTAAGGACACAGCTCTGTATAAGATATCGTTTCATGCTTTATCGTATCATAACAGTGTTATTATCCATCGGGGACGATATTGATTATTTGATATTACTATAATTATGTGGCTGCCGAACGCGATGAGGGAAGTTGAACCAGTAGTGTTACCAGAAGAAAGTCGCGTTGCGTGACTATAGACGTTTCTTAGGGTTGCTAGTGAAATTGCTTTCGATTAATAGTGTCCGAAATTGACGAGAAGTCGCATAATATTATATTTTCCGACATGAGTAAGTGAATTCGTATTGTATCTAATTTTGTTTGCATCAGAAAATGAGGATGTTATATTTGTGAAAATAACTCCTCAATATTATTGTCATTCAAGAAGTAAAAAGTCGCTAGACTCTTTGTTACTTTTCTCCTTTATGACAAATTTGTCTAAACAGAAGTGATAGACTAGTCAAATAATTAAGAGTTACAATACCCAACAAAATGTTAACAATTAGAAAGAATAAAAACTAACGAATTTTTGCCTAGTAAATGATAAAGCTCTATTAAAGATTTACTATATAAGACTTACTGTATAAATACTAAGTGTGCTATATAAGAATACATTACAAAAATTATGTTTCGCGCATGAGTAGAAAGAAAGACGTGCATGCTACTACAAGCAATTCGTTTGATGTTAGAGCAGGAAGACGAAAAAACGCGAGTCTTGCAATTTCCGCTTATAACTCTTACGATCGCCGGGTGCTGGCCACCGAATTCCTGCTCCACGTTTTGCAAACGAGCAGTGTACAATGTGTATACGATTATCGTAGCCTCGTTACTATTTACCTTCATGGTGCCGCAATTCATGGACATTGTCCTGAACGTCGACAATGCTGACGACTTCACGGACACTTTCTACGTTATGCTAGCTATGGTTATCGCTTTCTGTAAGATACTCGGTCTGTTGCTAAATCGTAAGAATATCGAGATGATAATGGGCGCGTTAGTCGAGAAACCATTTAGTCCGTTGGGACCGGACGAAATCGAGATACGACAGAAATTTGATAACTTAATACAGTATGTATCACGAAGCAAACATGGAATAAATATTTGATGTACGTTCGTAAAGACAGAGTGAAGTGAAATCTAGTACTTTCAACAATATTCTCTTTGTAGCTTTGATGGAAAAATCAAAAATTAAATGTAAAGACTAGCAAAAGCAAAGTATGTGACATTTAAATTAAACTACTCCCTCTATAGTTTCATTTGAGGGCGCCAGTAAACAATTCGAAGTTCAAGCAAATGAAATAAAAAAATTACAGTATTTAGAACGAACTCTTACTAGTCTTTATATTAATTCTTTAATATTGTACTTTCCTTACTTTTTCTTAGCCTGACCTTTTTTTTTTAGAAAATAGTACATTAACTTCATTAAGTCTTAACAGCCATCGTAGACATTTTACAGGAACAAAGCTATGTGGTACACGTTTATCATCGAGACGTCGTGCATATGTATGTGTTTGACATCCATATTGACGGAATTTCGAAGAGGAAATTTAACTTATAGGGAATGGTTACCATATGACTATTCCTCTGATATATTTTTATTTTGTGTCACGTACTTCCATCAATTGATAAGCTTGACGGCCGCGTCCATTGTGAACGTCGCCTGTGATAACATAATCTGGGGATTATTGTTGCATATCTGTGGCCAGATCGAGATATTGGAATGCCGGCTGGAAAGATCTCTGCGCAACCAAAGCGACTTCGGCGAATGCGTATATCTGCACGATCGCATCTACAAGTCGGTACTCGCACGAAAACTTTTATGTATTTCAATTCAGTAACGATTCAACGATATCCTTCTCTCATAGATACGCACGCGTGATAAATAGAAAATTCAATTTTATCATTGCCGTTCAATTCATAGCGAGCACACTCGTGATATGCTCCAATTTGTATCGACTAGCGAAGACTGAGTTAAGCGCGAAGTATGTTGAAGTGGCGTTGTACACAAACTGTATGCTAATACAAATTCTAATCTACTGCTGGTACGGAAACGAAGTGAAGCTAAAGGTATTCATTAACATATTCAATGCCGTGACAATGATTACAGATTATGATATTCTTATTTCATCTTTCTTCCTCTATGACGAAATAATTTCTAATTATAAATATTTAGTGTAATATTTCAATATTGTACCATTTGATTATAATTGTAAGTAAAGGTATTATTACAACAACTTATGATTGTTTCGTATCTTCTGTTGCAGAGCACTCAACTTGGCGATCGGATCTTCAGTATGAACTGGCTGGTATTAGACAAGAAAATGAGAAAAAATCTTATAATGATTATGAACCGTTCTCTAATCCCTATCGAATTTTCCAGTGCTCATATTTTTACGATGAACCTCGAGTCCTTTGGAAAGGTGATACATAAATATAATTTCGACGGTGATCGACTTTATCAATAGATTTTTATGAGGTATACTTCTAATTTTCGCATGATTCAAAGTCGATCACTACTTTGTTTATGAAGTATATTCAAGAAAAATTTAATGATATTGATATTTACAGCTTCTTAAAGCGTCGTATTCAATATATAATGTACTTCAAATTATGTAAAAGGAGACTGCATATGTGAAAAATGTTTATCTAAAAGTAAGATTCAACGTGTAAAAATAATTGTCGAATTCAAATTAAAAGCAATGTATTTGTATAAAATAGCCTATCACGGTGGTGGCTTATTACAGGCTAATTACAGCTAATGGATCAAATGATAAGAAAATTATATTTTTTAGAAATACATTACTTGTTATTGATTACGTATATCTCGTAAAGAAATACCTGGGTATGAAAGAATAGATCCCATTAGCAAATCTCCAAGTATTCGGCTATGATATTGTATAAGTTTGCGACAAACATTTTTTTAACATATACACTATCAGTATAGGAATTGATGAAGAATGATACGTACTATATCATGAAACTGTAGCAGTGACAATAATAAATACAATATTTTATCACTTGTTTATCAAGAGTGATTTAAAAAAATGATATAGGCGAGACCGTATAAGACGACCAGTATATATCGATGGTACAGACCCACTGAGTGTATAAGAAGGAAGTGGTCATATGACTCGTGCATTAAGATACGTAATAATGACACATAATAATAGCATATTCTAACAAACGACAATGGATGTACGAGAAGCCAAGTTCTGTCGAGTCGCGGACGTACAAATGATACGTATAAAAATTTCACGACTATCATTTGCAAATGATATTCTATTAAGGAACTTCTCAAGAATTGCTCCATTCTTCATTCCTCTACTTCGTGTTTTTGCTAGTTAAAATAACGCTCTATTTCATCCTATTGTGTGATACAAATTGCATATGGATTATTTTAGTCTATTCATGTGTCCATTATCTTACAGGTCATATTTTACTTGAATAACAAACACAATATTACGAAGATACGAGGATACGAAGATACAAGGAAACGCTTAGTTAAAGTAAAAATATAATTGACAGCGAATATCGTCGAGAATCTCTCCGCAGAGTTATAGATGTTTTCTTTCGTGAAATCGTGAATATCATTTATTTACGTTCGACTTGCGATCGAGATTTCGTGCAAATAATTTCATTGACTGACACGCAATATAACTGAATATAACACAGCGTTCATTTCTCTTTCCTCAATCCTCAGCCTCTTTCCTTACTCCATAGTGTTATCTCGAAAATGAAAACATTGACGCCAAGAATGCACGTCCTAAAATTGACGTGCACAATTGTTATGATTGCTGGATGCTTGCGGCCGCAATCGTGGACTAGTCTGCCAAAACGTGTAGCTTACAACATCTATCGATTATATGTAATCAGCATGTTATATACTTTCTCAATGACTCAGTTTCTGGATATGGTTCTGGTCATCGACAATGCCGAAGACTTTACCGATAATTTGAATATGATGATAACCGTAACTGCTGCATGCTACAAAATGTTTCTCATGTGGATAAGCTACGAGGACGTTGCAGCGTTAATTAACAAACTTAATGAGGAACCATTTAAGCCGCTAGATCGAAGTGAGATGGAAATCCGACAGAAATTTGATCACATAATACGGTAAATATTTCGACGTAAGTGTTTGAGTAACTTTCATAAATTTCCCTTGGACATTAAAATATTAAAGATTTTGAAATTAGCAACTTAAACATTTCACAAAACACACTTTTTTTCCAAATGAATTTATACAGGATATTCTATTTTAACCAGGTCAGCTGAATATTTCAAAAACTAAATTCGGCAGACAAAAATGTTTTAGACAAAATTTATAAGGTTTTGAAGAAGAAAAAGGGCAATGACCTTGAATTTTAACTACAGTCATTCGCCAAGATTATAGAGATTAATTTTATTTTTTCTCAAATAGAAGCTAATACTTTTTATAGTAGATTCTAAAAAAATCATTCAATTCTGCGCAGAAAATTTCTAAGAAGTGTATAACTTATTTCCAATAGTTTAGGAGTTATTTAACAATGACGAATACAACTTTTACTAACTCGAGATATTTAGTTAGCTTATTTAAAGTGAGACGTCCTGTATATGAAAAAAATTTGTAGATTATTCTATAATAAATCTACGCGATTTCTAATTTGTAATTTTTAATTTAATCGCGTTAATCATCGTCAAGTTAAGCAAATGTTTCCTATCGTCAGAAAACTATATAAGAAAAAATAAATATGTAATTATCTCATGTATTTGTGCATAAAATGCGCTCCACAAAATATCGAAAATAAACGCCAACATTTGTTAATGTGATACTTGTTATGTTGTGTGTGTGTGTGTGTGTGTGTGTGTGTGTGTGTGTAAATGTCTTAATTTCTATTTATATAGATTTTTATTCTCTCTCTCTCATCACATTCGTTGGTAACGTTGGCTTACGTTTCACATATCATCTGTAAAGTCGCGTTTTTAGAAATATAACACGGATATAACAATCTCTTCAGCCATTTTTCAGAAATAACACGTTACGCTACACGATCCTCATCGAGACGACGTGTTCATTTATCGCTCTGACATCGTTGTTCACCGACTTCAGACATAGAACTTTAACATACAGGGAATGGGTGCCGTATAATATTTCGTCCTATACGAAATTTTGCTTCACATATGCCCAGCAAATGATAACAACATTCCATTGTGCAACCGTAAACGTCGCTTGCGACACGCTTCTTTGCGGATTATTAATGCACATGTATTGCCAATTAGAGATCTTAGAATATCGTCTGAATAAAATCTCGAGCAACCAAATTACCGTGGGCTACTGCGTTCGTCATCACAACCTAATTTACGAGTTAGTTGTCGCAACAATATCGTGATATGCTGAAACACATTAATTTTAAGTTATCACTTTTATAAACTATTACTTTTTCGAGTAATAGAAAGGCATCATAGATAAAAATGAGAACTTAATTGCAGGTTTGCACAGTTGGTGAACACAAGATTCAATCAAATAATTGGATTTCAGTTTATAGCAAGTACAATGGTGATTTGCTCCAATTTGTATCAACTGACCAATCCATCGTCGAACACGAATCCTGTTTTGTTAATTATGTACACATCCTGTATGCTAACACAAATATTTATTTATTGCTGGTTTGGAAACAAAATCAAAGTAAAGGTTTGTACAACTAAACAAATTCCACGATACATACAGTATACTCTCTAATTTCTAAAGAAAAATAATTACGTGAAAAAATAATTTGAAATTATAAAGTATATTTTCTTTTATAAGAAGCTTCGTTTTCGAGAAAATTGATCTAGCAACTAGAAAATTCACGATATTCCTTCTTTCTTCAGACGAAGTTTTTGATATTAAGACAAACTTTATTTAAAATAAATTTTTGTTTTATAATTTTAAAATTAAGTAATATATCATATAATTTTAAAATATAAGTAATATATCATATACTATAAAAAAATATTTGCATAAACTTAGTTTTCTTTATTTGCACAAATTTTGATAAATACTATAGATTAATCATCCTGTAAAAATGTATAAAGCATATTTGCTTCGTATTATTTATTTCACTCGTGCACAGACCACGCGTACGCGCATGCACACATGCACATGCGGGTTATGTCTTTTTAAATATTTAAAGTATTATGCCAAATGAATAATACGAAGCAATATTTTTGTGTGCTTTATTATAGGATTATTAATCGACAATATTTATCAAGACTTGTGCAAATAGCGATATAAACCTACATGGCCTACAATCAGAGATCTACAATCAGAGATCAAAAGCCTTAAATTAACTCTAAAGAGTGTGAATAAAATGTTTTATAATTATTTCTTTAATAGAGCCTACAATTAAGCGACAGCATATTCCAAATGAATTGGCCAGCGATGAACAATAACGTTACGAAGAGCCTATTGATAATTATGAACCGCGCGGAAATACCCATTGAAATCTCGACTGCTTATATTCTGTCCATGAACTTGGATTCTTTCGTAGCGGTTAGTGCATACGCAGAGTTTAAATTTATAATTGAATGATGAATGCTAATAACAAGAATGTTAATAACGATGAATGCTAATAACGATATGTGTTTCCCTCGATTCACTTAAACGATACAAATTCAGAACAAATCGAGCTTGAATTATGGAATTAATTGTATGTATTAATAGCGACTCTAAACATCCTTTGTTATTTCAGTTGCTCAAAACATCGTACTCCGCTTACAACTTACTGGTGCGAATGCAAGAAGGGCAATAATGTAAGCGTAAGTGATGTAAAATGAAGCGTGTTCGTATCGCTGCATCATGTGATTGAACAAGAACTGTGAGAAAGTGAAGACGTTCATTGAATTGGTAATCCTGCCTGTTGATAGTCATAATTGTCGTCAGTGATATACTGCTGTATATGTTAGACAAAACTTCATATTTTACTTAAAACACTAGTACGAATGTGAAAATAACAGTATATAATGGAAAAATACTACAGAGAGAAACAAAATTTGTCTCGAATACAACCGGCACGTATTCATAAAACATAAAAAACGGATCGGCGTTGCATTTATCGTCGTGATACAAATCTCAAGATTGATTTTAATACTCGACAATGTCCACTGTATATTGCAAATATGTACACGTAAAAAAAACTAGCTTTCAGAGCTAAAAAATAGCTGTGGCTGATAAGACGTGTCACTGAAATAGGGATAACTAAGGTCGATACTACCGAAGCTAAATTTATTCGCTGTTTAAACTTTGATGTTATAGCGAGAAATATTAGCTGCTAGAAACAAATGACTATAACAAATGATTATAGCTGTGCAGCAAACTTCTTTAAAAGATTCGATAAAAAATTTAGGAATAACTGCCATTTTCTTAGCTACTTAAAATAATGTGCATTTTTAATATCATCTAATACATTTGTATTTCTTAGCGAATGCATTTTAGCTGTCACAGCCAATTCTTAGCAGTGACAACTAAACGATTTAACTCCTTTTATCTCAATCTGAATCAGCTACCGCAGTTTAGCTGATATTACTAAGTCATTTTTTACGTGTAATGTCTATAGATACATCCATTCTCGTTTCCCCTCAGTTATGATTTAAATATATTGCATGAGTAAAAATAGGTAACGAATACGCCGACGATAGCTCCGCGAAAATCGATACGCGACGAAAACACGCATAATGATACGATTCGAGACCGGGTAGTGGACGATAGACGAAGACCGTAATTATACCTTGTAATGGAGAACACACTGAGGTTACTGTTGGATAACCGTGAAGATAACCGACTTTACGGAAGTCTCTCGCTGCTAGCCACTCAATTTTTCATGATATACTACGAACAGAGCTAAATAAAATATCTTGTAATTGAAACGTACAATAGAAAAAAAGATATCGACGAAATAATCTATTAATGAGGACATGGAGGATCCTTCTTTTGCATTTACTTTTGCCTTCCGTACTCTGCTCTTCTCCACAAGAATTACTCGGTATTAAGAAATTGTGTGTAGGAAACATCTCTTGTGTGTAAGGAAAATATAGATAAAGATTTACAAAATCATTATTTCGCGACAAGAGACATTGTATTGCGAGTTTCATATTACAAAAAAATGCGAAGAAAAAGTTTTAATAGAAACGTTTAATCATTGTAAGGAGAAACTTATAAACACATACAGAGTTTTCTGTTTTCTCATAAGGTATTTGTTTTTTCGCGCTTAATACGTGGACGTTAGTGTTTGATACTATAGCAGTTACCTGTTTCTCTTTCTTTATTAATAACGACGTTGATTCAAGATAATCGCAAGGTAACATGCGAATATTTGAGAGAAAAATTCAGTCGGCAATGTTCTGAATCCGGATAAAGAAGTATTTGAAATATTACTAAGTGCTCTACGCGTTCTAAAATTCTGTTTCGTCCTGAAGAAAATGTCTGTTTCGTCAATGAAGAAAATTGCGCAAATCAACGTAATTTGATCAATAATTACGCGTGAATGTAAGCAACCAATATTTTTACAAATTTTCACTGTTAAAACGTCTCGTACAATTGATGAATTCGGCATAATTAAAAGAATATTAATAACTTATTCAAAGAAGAGATTAGCAAACGTCTCGAAATGCACGTATTAGAATTTACACTGTCAGTCCTCACAGTCGCCGGAGGTTGGCGACCGCTGTCGTGGACCTCGTTGATGAAACAAATTATATACAATGCTTACTCAGTTTTACTGAATGCGGCGGTATTCATATTCATCACAACCCAATTCATGTATTTTGTGTTTAACGCCATCAATGCGGACGAAATATGCGAGACATTATACGTGATGCTTGTTGGAATGATCGGAAATTTTAAGATTATCACAATAAGTATCAATCACCAAAGTTTCGCGGCTATGCTCGATAATCTATCACAGAAACCGTTCAAACCAATGATAGAATACGAGACGATGATTCAAACAAAGTTTGAGAAAATGATAAAGTTAGTATATTATTAGTGCTAAAAACATATTTTTTTTAATATTTAAGAAATAAAACTTAGATATTATACAAGATGTCCGATAATTTCTTATACATTCGCGACGTACAAGTAAAGATCATCAAACTAAATACAAAATTCCTCATTTGCAAACAACTACAAACAAACAAGATTGATAAATGATTACGCGTGGTATGTGCGTGATATATAACTTGTGATAACATCGTGTGCCAGTATATGACTTGTGATAACATCGTGTGCCAGTATATAAGGTCAAACTGAACAAATAAGTCCTCTGCCATTTTGCATAGATTTTTAATTATTAATTAAAGAAAATTAGTATATTACTATATATAACTATGTATCAGTTTTCTTTAATTAATAAATAAACACGTGGTTAGTTGCAAAATAACACAGAACTTTTATGTACAGTTTGATTTAATGTATGAGTAGACAGTGGCAGACGATATCACAGCTTATCTACCATATCGCATATGATGATTTACTAATCTTCTTTAATTAATAATTTAAAATTTTACATTGTTTACGGAATGGGGTAAAACAATTTTGTGCTCAGTTTGGTGAGTTCTACTTATACATACATAACAAATGTGTTATAAATTATCAGACACCCTGTATATTGAACATTAAATTTATGACAAGAGAAAAAAAGAAAAATATAATAATCACGTTTTTAGGAGTAATACAACTCGCTATTTAATGCTTATGGTGTCGACTGTTTCATACATGACTTCAGCATCCTTATTCACGGACTTCAGTAGAAAACAATTAACTTTTAACGCATGGTTCCCGTTTGACTATTCGGTTTCCGTGATATATTACTTTCTGTACATTCATCAAATGATCAGTTTGACACTGTGCAGTTTCTTGAATATCGCCTGCGACTGTTTCTTCTCCGGATTACTACTGCACATTTCCTGCCAGATCGAGATCTTAGAACACCGTCTGTCGAAAGTCGCGAATAATCAAGTCAAGTTGCGCGAGTGCGTGATTCACCATTATCGCATATTCGAGTAAGGTTTCTAGATATATTAATTAGTCTTAAGCGGGCAACGACGTTTTATATAACCGTAGATTCGCCAGTGTGTTGAATGATAAATTGGTAATTGTCATCGGAAGCCAATTCATAGGGTCCTGTTTGGTAGTGTGCTGCCTGTTTTTTCGGTTAACAGTATCAACATCCAATTCTGTGTATATCGAAACCATGCTATGTATAGCTTGCGCGTTATTAGAGATCTTCTACTACTGTTGGTTCGGAAACGAAGTCAGAGTGAAGGTAATTTTGCAAATGAAGTTGACGCGAAAGAAAAAAGAAAAAAATCTAACGAGATGAAACGTTACTATATATTATATATATATTTTCCATAGAGTACTATATATTTTCCATAGAGCCTGGAGTTGTCCGAAAATATCTACAAAATGAAATGGCTGGAGCTTAGTAACAGCATGAGAAAGTGTTTCTTGATTATTATGCATCGCGCCACTTTACCTATCAAATTTACCAGCGCCCGTATTATCCCTCTGAATCTTGAGTCTTTCGTGGTGGTTAGTACGACGAGCAGATCGCGCGATTAATAAGCAATTCGACAAGCTTGTTTGCAACAAGTTAATTCTATTTACCACGTTTGTTATAGGTGCTGAAGATGTCATATTCGGCTTTCAATCTAATGCGTCAGACGCAAGGGGGATAGTAGAAGAATGATCCGTACAACTAGAGACGTTATATCCGAACCGAGGGACCATAATTAATTTAAGATTATCGATTTTGTTGGGTTTTCTCAACAGAACGAAAATACGAAGTTTTCGCCAAGGTGAAACAATTAAAATTGCCAATACGTACTAAACCGTAGGTATATAACCTGTGAGTTAAGCGTGTATGTAATTTACAGAATATTTATACTCACTTGTAATGCGACATAAAATAGAATTACAGCAAACATTTCGAACGCTATGTTATTTTATATTTTATATTACACCTCTTCATTACTTCATCTGCTGTAAATGACTCTAAATTGTAATAATATTGTCACTTACATGTGTCTATAAATTATATTACCTTAAAACCTAGATTAAATGTGGAATATTGTCACGACGATTAATTCCGATATAAAAATTAATCGTATAACTTTATTTTCATCATGTAAATTGTAAATACGCACTAGATATGCATGTTATAAAAAAAAATAAATCAGGAGTTAAAATAGGGCCTATAAGAGTTCAGCACAGGTGACTTAGTGCAGTAAAACTAACATGATAATTAGTGGATGTCCTCCGTGAGAGAAAAATTATATTTATTAAACAATGTTACAAAAAATCAAACGCGTTTCCGTCTTTTTTGCAGATTCTCCTCAGTGATCGATAAATAAAGTCGCAAAGAAAAAATCATTAGTTCTTCTTCTTGGTCAAATTGCTCGTAAAACGTAAATTTATAAAAAGAAGAACGCCGCAATCAGAACTCAGGAGATACGCGTATAAATATGTTGTAAATAAAAACGTCGTAGACTCCTCCAAGACATAAATCCCAAAGGTGTAATGAATGTATGCCAGTCAGACGTAGCCAGAAAAAAGTTTCGAGGGGGGCTGAAGATGTACTTTTTATTTTTGACGAGCATAAAAAAAAGGTTATTCGAAAAATTTTTTCTCACACTTAATGTAAGCCAGAAAATTAATTTCAGGGGGGCTACAATTCCCTCAGACCTTCCTGGCTGCGCCACTGATGCCAGTGGCCCCGTCACATTTTCGGTCACTCCAAATACACTTAGTAGAGTGCCGCTGTAGTGTTGTCTGATTACCAAAAATACACACGAGTAACTTATAAGATGCGAGGAAGAAAAAAATTTTAATTATCCACTAAATAAATATTCACCTATGTGTCTTAATTGGAAGACCGTTCTACGAAGATCGAAATGATTTAATCTTACGCGTACCTCCGAATACCAGCGGCACAGGTACATTGTTTATATTTGCGGAAGAAAAAGTGTAAGCCAAATGTGATACCGAGTTCAATATTTACACGCATTCAAACAAAGCATTATAGTCGCTACCAAGATTTACAGTATTATTTTGAGAGTTAAGGCCCTATTTTAATTCCTGATTTGTTTGAAAAAAGTTCTTTTGGTTCCTTTTTTTTATTTATAAGAAAAATAAAATTTGTTTCTGATGCAATAGACGCATATTTGTAAATAAAATACAATAAACGAATTGACGTTGCCGACTATTCGTCGTGATCCAAATCTCAAGTTTGATTTTAGCATTCAGCACTGTCCATCAACACTTTAAAATACAAATATCTAATGTCCATAGCTACATACGCTTGTTTAAAGTTCCACCCATGTATATGACGCCTTTTCCCGCTTATGTGTAATGATCTGTAGCGAATATGCCGGCGATACTTCTGCGGAAATCGATACACGACGATGGCACGCATGATACGATTCGAGACCGAGTAGTGAAAGATAGACGAAGACTATTACATCTAGTAATAGAGAATACACAGATTGCTATCACTATGAAGACAATTTTATGGAGGTATTCTCTTGCCGCTGGCCGAGATTGGAATGTTTCATAATACTACGAAGAGAGCTAAATAAATAAATAATTATATATCTTGTAATTGAAATGGGCAATTGAAAAAAATATCGACGAAATGATTTATAAATGAGGACAGTCTTTACCTTGCATTTACATATTTTTCTTTTCCGTACTCTGTTCTTCTCCACGAGAATTACTCGGTATTAAGTAATTTTGTCTAATACATTCCCGGAAAATATAGATTCAGATTCATAAAATTGTTATTTCGTGACAACAGACACTGTATTGCGAGTTTTGTATTATAGTAATAAAGTAGTAATAATACTAATAAAGTAGTAATAAAATAACGCTATATACGAAGGAAAAGTTCTCTTACGAACGAACAAACGTCGTGAGAAAGTTGGAGAAACCTATCGACACAATCGGAGTTTTCTGTTTTCTCATGAAATAATCTGATGTTTTCCCTTAATACGAGAACGTTAGTGTTTGAAATCTCGCGTATAGCAGCTACTCGTATTCGTTTATTATTAATAACGTTTGTTCGATATTATCGCGGAGTACTGAAGTGACTATTTCAAAAAGAAGTCATTCGCCTCTGGTCTAAACGCGGATAAAGAAATATTGAAACTATTAGTGAGTGCTCTTTCGTTCTTAAAATTCTACTTGGTCCTAATTATCCAAGAATTTTTTCCTTTCTGATTTATCTTGTGCACGCGAAAAAGTTTTACCATGCTTTTCAATCAAATTATTCAAATGAGTCGATGAAGAAAATTGCGCGAATCAACGTAATTTGATCAATAATTACGCGTGAATGTAAGCAACCAATTTTTTTTACAAATTTTCACTGTTAAAACGTCTCGTACAATTGATGAATTCGGCATAATTAGAAGAATATCAATAACTTATTCCAAGAAGACATTAGCAAACGTCTCGAAATGCACGTATTAGAATTTACACTATCAGTCCTCACAGTCGCCGGAGGTTGGCGACCGCTGTCGTGGACCTCGTTGACGAAACAAATTATATACAATGCTTACTCAATTTTACTGAATGCGGCGGTATTCATATTCATCACAACCCAATTCATGCATCTTGTGTTTAACGCCATCAATGCGGACGAAATATGCGAGACATTATACGTGGTGCTTGTTGGAATGATTGGAAATTTTAAGATTATCACAATAGGTATCAATCATCAAAGTTTCGCGGCTATGCTCGATAATCTATCACAGAAACCGTTCAAACCAATGGTAGAATACGAGACGATGATTCAAACAAAGTTTGAGAAAATGATAAAGTTAGTATATTATTAGTGCTAAAAACATATTTTTTTTAATATTTAAGAAATAAAACTTAGATATTATACAAGATGTCCGATAATTTCTTATACATTCGCGACGTACAAGTAAAGATCATCAAACTAAACACAAAATTCTTCATTTGCAAACAACTACAAACAAACAAGATTGATAAATGATTACGCGTGGTATATGCGTGATATATAATTTGTGATAACATCGTGTGCCAGTATATTAGGTCAAACTGAACAAATAAGTCCTCTGCCATTTTGCATAGATTTTTAATTATTAATTAAAGAAAATTAGTATATTACTATATATAACTATGTATCAGTCTTCTTTAATTAATAAATAAACACCTACGTGGTTAGTTGCAAAATAACACAGAATTTTTATATACAGTTTGATTTAATGTATGAGTAGACAGTGGCAGACGATATCACAGCTTATCTACCATATCGCATATGACGATTTACTAATCTTCTTTAATTAATAATTTAAAATTTTACATTGTTTACGGAATGGGGTAAAGCGATTTTGTGCTCAGTTTGGTGAGTTCTACTTATACATACATAACAAATGTGTTATAAATTGTCAGACACCCTGTATATTGAACATTAAATTTATGACAAGAGAAAAAAAGAAAAATATAATAATCACGTTTTTAGGAATAATACAACTCGCTATATAATGCTTCTGGTGTCGACTGTTTTATACATGACTTCAGTATCCTTATTCACGGACTTCAGTAGAAAACAATTAACTTTTAACGCATGGTTCCCGTTTGACTATTCGGTTTCAGTGATATATTACTTTCTGTACATTCATCAAATGATCAGTTTGACACTGTGCAGTTTATTGAATATCGCCTGCGACTGTTTCTTCTCCGGATTACTACTGCACATTTCCTGCCAGATCGAGATCTTAGAATACCGTCTGTCGAAAGTCGCGAATAATCAAGTCAAGTTGCGCGAGTGCGTGATTCACCATTATCGCATATTCGAGTAAGGTTTCTAGATATATTAATTAGTCTTAAGCGGGAAACGACGTTTTATATAATCGTAGATTCGCCAGTGTGTTGAATGATAAATTGGTAATTGTCATCGGCAGCCAATTCATAGGGACCTTCTTAGTGCTATGCTGCCTGCTCTTTCGGTTAACAATATCAACATCCAGCTCTATGTACATCGAAACCATGATGTGTATATGTTGCGGATTAATAGCGACCTCCTATTACTGTTGGTTCGGAAACGAAATCAGACTGAGTGTAATTTTGCGGATACGGCCGACGCGAAAGGAAAAAGAAAGAAATGTGACGTTGTATTTTTGTCCATAGAGCCTGGAGTTGTCCGAAAATATCTACAAAATGAAATGGCTGGAGCTTAGTAACAGCATGAGGAAGAGTTTCTTGATTATTATGAATCGCGCAACTTCGTTACCTATCAAATTTACCAGCGCGCGTATCATTCCTCTGAACCTAGAGTCTTTCGTAACGGTTAGTACGAGTAAATCGCACAATTAATAATTATTAAACAAGCCTGTTTAAGACAAGCTGATACTATTTGCTACGATTTTTATAGGTGCTCAAGATATCGTATTCGGTTTTCAATCTAATGCGTCAGAGGCAAGAGGGATAGTAGAAGAATAATCCGTACAACTGGTGACGTTATATCCAAACCGAAGGACCACAATTAATTTAAGATTACCGATTTCATTGGTTTATCTCAGCGGAATAAAAATACGAAGTTTTCGCCAAGGTGAGACAAATAAAATTATCAATACGAACTGAAAAACCAATCGATCAACCGTAATCGTAGCTTGTAGAAGCTATGAATTTTGTGTAGATGTAAATCACAGGATATTCATATACTTGTAGTGCTGCATAAAATAGAATCACGGCAAATGTGTGCGAGCGCATTGGCATTTTTATATTTTGCATTGCTCCTTACTTCATCTGCACCTAAGCGACTCTAAGTTGTCATAATATTGTCACTTACATCTGTTTGTAAGTTATTTTATCTTAGATACCCAGATTAAAAATGTGGAATGTCATTATCACAGTGATTAATTCCGATATAAAAATTAATTCTATCAAGTCATTACCAACCCTTTTCCCATCGTATATTGTAAATACACAATAGGCACGCATTCCTCTCGAATAAGTGTCCAATGTACGCGAGAAGTTTAGAAATCGGTGACAGCAGCAATAAATGAATTCTTTCGGGAAAGATTCCGACGCGTAATGAATAGCGAGTATCGAAATTTCGTTTAATTATTTACAGCTGATGACTATCTCGTGAGCTTAAGAAAAGCTTTCATTCTTCACGAGCGAATTCGCGCGAGTCTACGTCTCCTTTAACGGAAACATGTCTGTGAATGAGAGATACAACCTGGAGGTGAATCTACGTTACAGTTTCCAATTACAGTTCCAATTACAGTTTTCATTTTTCCATCGCTGTCGTTCTGATAGAAACTAAATGTTTGTTATCCTGTGCGAAAAGAAATTTTTCTGAAGTTCTTTATATCGACGAAAAAAGTAAATCAAAGAATATCTCGATAAGTATCAAAGCCTGGACACTAACAACACTAGTAGCCAACTCTGTACATTTTTATTATTCTGGTTTTTAATTACGAATATTTAATCTTTCAACGCGTAGAATATATGTGTGTATGTATTCATTATATATATAATATATTTTATATTAAAAGTTTAAATATACGTATTTATATATACACACACACCACACACAAACTAAAACGGCTAAAATATCCAAATTTAGGTACCAGTGTTATCAGTATCCACACAGATATTGGCACTGTGATCTTAACATCAACTCGACGATATTATTGCGATGTCAACGGTATGATAACAAAAACTGCAATGTCTCGCGAGGTGATTTTTGCGGGCTGGATTATCAAGATTTTATACGGAGAAGTTACAGCTATAGATTTTTCAAGCAACATTCGAGACGTTTATTCTCCATGTGCTGTTATGTATTACGATCATAAATAAATCCTACTGTAATGAATATGTGGCGGAAAGAATATATTTAAATGTCCCGGGAACAATTTACCGTCACTACTGTGTATTGATGACGATTTGAATAATTCATTGTTTCACGTGCTCAGTTTTCTCTCGTCTGCTTGTTCTTCGCAAAAATAGCAACATGAACATCTTGCTTTTACGATAAAGATAGCGTTTCGAAAGAAAACGTTGCACTCTCGCAATTTTCGCGAATAATATCTCGAGAATAATATCGTATGTCCTCGCCGCGATCATCGCATAGACGCTTCATACGAAGAGGGAAGTCGGGCGAATAATGTTATCGAGTCAAGAGGCTATAGATACCAAGATTGTCGTTCCCTCATTTGACTCATCCACGTAACGCGTAACGAAGATTCAGTTGAACTTTCCGAAGTATAATCGGAAAACTTTCCGAGCCAATCGATCGGAATTATTTCGTAAGTTCAATGCGTATACGTAGGAAAAATATATTAAACTAATCAGTTCTTCGTCGTTTAATTTTAATCATTTATCGCGACAATGATCGACTATCAATTGTAAAGAATTAGTTATTCTTAACAGATCGTTGTGACTCTATCTGATTATTAACAAACAAGTCAATTATAATAGAAATTATTTGAAAAAGGTCAATTTTTTTTATAATTGCCATAAATATCATACAAATTTCTCTCTTTTTCTTTCTCTCTCTCTCTCGTAATCATGGAAGTACCTAAACACTATCGTAGTAATTGAAACTTATGACAAATAAGTGGATAATACCAATATAGTTATTGTTGTTGAATAAACGAATAAGAGAAGCGAAAGATGTGTGTGTTGAAATTTACTCTTACGGTTTTGGCGGTCGCAGGGTCTTGGCGACCTGCTTTATGGACGTCGTTGTTTAAACATATAATATACAATGCTTACACGACGTTAGTAGTTTTAACATTGTACACATTTTCAATGAGCCAACTTTTGGAGCTTATACTGAACGCCAACAACGCCGATTCATTTGGCGACGCGTTATTCAACATTCTGATCTCGCTTCTGGCCTGCTACAAGACACTTATTATACGAATCAATCAAGAGAGCATCATAGCGTTAATTAACAATCTTACCGAGGCGCCGTTCAAGCCATTAGACTCGTATGAAATGATGATCAGAGAGAAATTTGACAGGAGGATAACGTAAGTATCAATTTTGACGTTTCGTTAATAAATGTTCATCGTTTGTGCTACGACGAGTTTGTTAATGAGGGTAACGTTATTGTTAATTTATCTAATTTGTCCCCCGAGGGACAAAAATGTTACAGCTATCTTATCTTCAATATTCTACACGGGAGAAATTGTTTCGCTATTGCAACTGAATTTTCTGTTATCTGGGGACCAGACGAAAACTCATTTGTGAGAATAGAAAGATTTTTGTAGGAAAGCTTTCTATACTCAGCCAATTACTTTCAATTACTTCAACCGAAGTTTAATGCAACTGAATGTTCCGATGAATGGTTTCGACAGAAATATTATCTTTCGTCAGATGCAACTTTTTCGTTTGGTCCCCATTCAGTTACACGTAATGAGAATTTTTTTCGTGTGATACATCTTAATTAGTCCTTCACTTCTAACAAATGATGATAAATGCACAAGCAAATAGAGAGGTTTTACTCACAAATAAATCGACAAATTTTATTCTTCATTTTGTAGAAACAATACGTTCTACTATTCGATTCTGATCCTGATATCCGTCATATACATCGTCTCGCTTTCATTTATCACGCAGTTTAAGAACGGAGAGTTACTATATAAAGCGTGGTTACCGTTCAATTGCTCGATCTCCACATTATTTTATTTCGCGTACCTTCATCAGATAATGAGCATAACGTTCATCGGGCTCGCTCATCCTACCAGCGACAGTCTGATTTGCGGACTATTGTTGCATATCTGCTGTCAAATTGAAATCCTAGAGTATCGTTTGTCAAATATTGCGAACGGTCGGAAGAGTTTGCGCGATTGCGTGCGTCATCACACACGTATTTTCGAGTAAGCTTTCAAACTTTTTTTTGCCTCCCACAACACACATACAGAGTGTCTCGTAACTGGCAGTACAATCAGAAAATTAATGATTATATTATAAATAATTAAGTAAAGAAGCAGTCTGCAAATTACTCAGATAATTCTCATTACGACATGCAGAAATGATTGAAAAGAAATCTCGACAATATGTATTTCGATAATCACGAAAAAGAGAGAGTAAAGAAATCACCAAAAGAAATAAGTAATCACTCAAGTTTAAAATAGCAGAAAATAGTTAACAATCTTTCGATCGTTAAAAACAATTTTCTCGAGAAAAAGATTCCATACAGAAAGAATATTGTAATTTTTTTTTCACATAAATATTTTTCAAGTTTACTATATTTAAATAAATATTTTTCAAGTTTACTATATTTAAATAAATATTTTTCAAGTTTACTATATTTAAATAAATATTTTTCAAGTTTACTATATTTAAATAAATATTTTTCAAGTTTACTATATTTAAATAAATATTTTTCAAGTTTACTATATTTAAATAAATATTTTTCAAGTTTACTATATTTAAATAAATATTTTTCAAGTTTACTATATTTAAATAAATATTTTTCAAGTTTACTATATTTAAATAAATATTTTTCAAGTTTACTATATTTAAATAAATATTTTTCAAGTTTACTATATTTAAATAAATATTTTTCAAGTTTACTATATTTAAATAAATATTTTTCAAGTTTACTATATTTAAATAAATATTTTTCAAGTTTACTATATTTAAATAAATATTTTTCAAGTTTACTATATTTAAATAAATATTTTTCAAGTTTACTATATTTAAATAAATATTTTTCAAGTTTACTATATTTAAATAAATATTTTTCAAGTTTACTATATTTAAATAAATATTTTTCAAGTTTACTATATTTAAATAAATATTTTTCAAGTTTACTATATTTAAATAAATATTTTTCAAGTTTACTATATTTCTAGTGGAGGATTATATCACCAGATCCGAGACTTTGTACACATATTTATTCGAACATTTAGAAGAATCTTTATACAAAAATAATCACGATGTTTATCTTGTATATAAAATGTCTCATATTAGGATATTCGAATGAAAACATTTTGTCATTTTAGATATGCATATATGTTGAACGACAAGTTCGCAAGATTAGTGCCCGGTGAGTTCGCAATGGTCACAATAGTGATGACTTATGATCTGATCCATATGATTATGTCGTCGTCTAACGCTGTTTATGTACAAAGCATGATGTTCATAGCTTCTACACTCGCGGCAATTTTCTACTATTGCTGGTTTGGCAACGAGCTCAAACTAAAGGTAAAGTCTGTGCTTCTCACAATTAACTTCAAATTTGTGACAAATAATCGATTCTACACACTGAGAGAAAAGATACTTGAGAAATAAAGGATATTTATTCGATAGATACTAATGGTACGTTTACTTGTAATGTAAAATATTTTTCATATAAGAAAATAGACATAATGGACATTTCCTCAAAACCTTAGCTTCTTATAAGAGCAATTGTTCACTTTATTTAAATAAAAGAATTTATATTTAAGTACGTTATTAATATCCATTGAATAAATTCTTTTTATATTTAATTTTTTGTATTTTTATATATTTTTCCTCTCAATGTACTTGCTGAAAATTGCGCGAATACGAGTCAAAAAAGAATTTTACTTATACTTCCGTTGCGCTTTTCGCTCGCAGAGTTTGCAGTTATCAGACAATATCTACAACATGGAGTGGATGACGTTAAACGACAATGTGAAAAAAGGTCTCTTAATGATTATGAATCGTGCGACGATACCTATCGAATTTAAAGGCGCGTACATGCCAATGAATCTCGAATCTTTCGTGGTGGTTCGTACAATCATTATGTTACTATCACGTCTGATTAATAAACGTTCAATTCCTAAAACCCTAAACATGGGCAAAATTTACTCAGACTTTTCAAACATTCTGTGTTTTGTTTTTTTCATTGTAACTTTCCTCAACTTTACTGAATCGCAAAGACATCAATATAAATTCATATTTCTCAGTGTTTTATATATCAATTAAAAAAAAAGGATTGCACTTCGATTATTTTTCCGGCAATTACGAGCAAATAAAAACGCGCTGGATAGAATTTACTCATGTTTAGGGGTTACATAATTTTTTGATGTTCAGTGTTCTAGGACTAACTGTGAACGATTGTTGCAGGTGCTTAAGACGTCGTATTCGCTCTTTAACGTACTGATACAGTCGCGCAAGCAGGAACACAGCTTATCAAACTGAACATATCTGATTGTATTTACGAATACGAATATTTTTTATTATTTAGACATATCTTTTCCCCAGTGTAGATAACGATAACGAATATAATCGTCGCTTTTATCGTTCCTTTGTTTACATGCAGAAATAACGGGTTACGTTTGAGAGTAACTTTCACAAGCCCAGTTGAAATGCTACTGCATTGCTACTCGTCGGCGATTACGTGAGTCCTCTTTCCCGACCGTACCCAGACAATTGAATCGATGAATCGATATACGAAATATACATGTGTGCGCGCGTGACGACATGGTGAGTTATGTGACTAGAAACAGTAATAAATAAAAGATCTCCTAATCGCTATGCAAAAAAGTCTCTCACGTGAATCTTTCATATGAACAACTTGTGTGTCTGACGTATCATATATTCACAATCTTTCGAAGTGACTGACGCAGGGAAGGGAAAGGTAGGTTAATACGTACGTTTTCTATTCTACCCTGTGAAAAAATAATAGCGTCCTGTTCCGTCGCATGACAAAAGCATCTGCTGCTCGGCGAATCGATATTATATGATGAAAATGATATTCCGCGTAGACGCCGGTTGTGAGTTCGACATTGTAACATTAGTTCGAATAAATAATATAGAATTTAGCAGAAAATGATATTTAACGGGGTGAATATCCAGCGATTGCTAGAAGAAAGTGAGGCTATAGACATTCTCGGTGTGGGTTTTATTCGCTCGGGTAAATCGCTTCGTCTGTCGTCGTCGTTTCAAGTATACACGTACGTGGTGGTTTATTTGGTCGTATGATTTTTATGAGAACCACGCAAGCGTTGCGACATGCGTTTTTGAGGGCACGTGTCGAAGTAACGTCGAGTTACACGGCGCAAATTAAAGTGTCTGTGATTAGATACAAGTAAGCGCGCGTCTGAAAAAGTACTATTATATTAACCGCTCGAATGAGGTCAAAGTAAAATGCGCGCGCTGCGATTTACTCTGATTATTTGTGCGATTGCTGGATGCTGGCAGCCGTTTTCCTGGACATCGAACTTATCAATATTCAAATATGCAATGTACATCGGTTATAAAACATTATTGATCTCCATATTGTTCACATTTAATGTGACTCAATTCATGAACATTGCATTAAACGTCGGTAACTCCGACGAATTCGCCAACACTATATACATGATGCTGACTGTATTCGTGGCGTTTTACAAAATAATTATCATGTGGCTAAGTTGCAAAAATGTTACCGGAATAGTCATAGCTCTCACGGAAAAGCCCTTCGCGCCAAAGGAATTGGGTGAGATAACAATTCGACAGAAGTATGACAAAATCGTACAGTAAGCATCAGCTTTTTAATGTGGATACGATAATTGCGGGAGGCACTAAGAAAAAGTATGTGAAAATTTATTTGTGAGATATAGAGTTGATTTTTGTGTAAATAAACTTTGCATCCCACAAATAAATATCTCCGAGTATTTCCTTCACAGTGCACTGCGTGTGTAATGAGAGTAATATTTTAAGTATTCCTGTTACAAGAATAAAACGATGACATAACGATTTCCACAGTCAATCCGTAGGAAAACTGCGATATGGTATCTAAGTCTGGTCATGACTACTGTCGTGTGCATGATTTTCACGTCTGTTTTCGTGGATTTTATGGGGGGAAGCCTGACTTATCCGGCATGGCTGCCGTTCAACTACACGTCATCCACTTTATTTCCCCTCGTTTTCGTTCACCAAACGATAGCCGTGACAATCTGCGCGACAGTGAACGTCGCCTGCGACAGCCTGATATGCGGACTTCTGTTGCACATATGCTGCCAGCTCGAGATCTTTGAATATCGATTAATGCAAATCCCGCAGAAACAACATATCCTGCCTGACTGTGTGCGTCACCACGACCGCATATTTGAGTTAGTTGTTACTTAAGCTGTTCTTTTATGATTCTTCCGTGAAAATTTGCGACTAATTGTACTCTTCTGATTCTTCTCTCGAGGTGATATGAAAACGATTGGAACGCGTGGGAATAAAATAACGCGCGACAATACGTGAATTAACGACATCGGGAATCACCTCCGTAGAAACAGACTAAAATCTACTAATCTAATCGTAGATACGCGTACACGGTGAACAGCCAATTTGTGAAGATAATTGCTCTCCAGTTCGGAGTGAGCACATTGGTGGTGTGCTCTAATTTGTTTCATTTGGCTATGGCGACACTCGACGCGAATATTCTACCATTGATACTGTATACGGCCTGCATGTTATCGCAGATTTTTATCTACTGTTGGTTTGGGAACGAAGTCAAACTAAAAGTAAGCGTAATCTATAAAGACTGAAGTGATTTTACGCGCGCGTTACGCGTCGAAGACAAATGAAATGCCGTCAGTGATCGGTGACTATATGACACTACGGTGTTTCATTAAGTTAGATGTACATTGAGAAAAATAATGGCTAATCTAATTAAAATTATAATTACTTTTAGCCCCACTATATTTTTTGGTTCTAACATGAAAATGGTAGCAATAATATATATATATATATATATATATATATATATATATATATATATAT